AGAGTTTGGGGTAGGGGTGGGGATTGAGGGACCTGGCCAGCACAGGACAAAGGAAACGGAGAGACAAGGGTAATGTGTGGGGAGAGGACTGAGGAAAAAGGATTGGTCACAGCACAGTGGGGGAGGAAGGAGGGGCCTGGCTGGGGCAAAGGTCTGGGGGTGCTGGGTGAAGGGGCTTTCTGGCAGGCCCAGGGCTATTTGGGGAGGTAGGGAGGGCACTGGGGAGCTTGCAGCAGCATGCGTTGTGCAGGGCTGGACCCCATTGCTCACCTGGTGGTTGCTGCTGCAGGTTATTGGTGGTGCTGGTCTGGATGTGGACTTCTCCCTGGAGAGCCCCTCAGGCGTGCTGCTCATCAACGAGTACCGCAAGTCAGACGGGGTGCACACGTGAGTACTGCCAGTGCCCTCTGTGCACACAGCTGGCTGTGCTTTGATGGAGGAGCATGTCCCCTTTGCTTCTGCCCCACAGAGCACCAGACACGGGGGCTCATCCTTCTCCCCCCCCACCTTTCCCAGCATCGAGCCCACAGAAGCTGGTGACTACAAGCTTTGCTTCGACAACTCCTTCAGTACCATCTCGGAGAAGTTGGTGTTCTTCGAACTCCTTTTCGACAGTCCGCAGGATGAGGAGGATGCCGAGAGCTGGGCTGAAGCTGTGGAGCCTGAGGACATGCTGGATGTCAAGATTGAGGATATCAAGGTAGGAGGCCATAAGAATGGACCCATTGTGGGGGGAGCATGGCTCTTGGCTGGGATGGGTTAGATCTTGACTGCTGAAGATGTTTATCCTGCATCTCCTTCCCCGGCAACAGGAATCCATTGAGACCATGAAGAGCCGCCTGGAACGGAGCATCCAGATGCAGACGCTGCTCCGGGCCTTTGAGGCCAGGGACCGCAACCTCCAGGAGAGCAACTTGGGTCGGGTCAACTTCTGGTCAGCTGTCAACCTGGGGGTGCTGGTGGTGGTGGCTTTCCTTCAGGTCTACATGCTCAAGAGTCTCTTTGAGGACAAGCGAAAGGTGCGAACGTAGTTCTAGTTGGCAAGAAGGACTGCATCCCTCCCAGGTGGGGGCTAAGGCCAGGGGCAGAGCTGGGTGGTACCAATGGCAGTGAATCCTGGCCCTGAGCCCACTACCCATTGATGGACACGCAGGATCCCTCTGGTGCGGCTACTTCGCTTTGTGTCTCCATTCATTCAAGGGATTAAATGTCTCTGCTTTTTACCAAAGCAGTGCGATGAACCAGGGGGTGTTGGGAAGGCTTGTGGGGGGAAGGGGAGGGGGTGGGCAGCACAGATCCTGGCCACTTGGCTGCAATGGGCTCAGGTCAGTGGCACTGCCTGGAATGGATTCTCTGTGGACTCAAAGCCAGGACAGCCGCAGTGCTCACTGCATGCCAAAATGTGCAGCCCCGGATGCAGCAAAGTTGAGGGTGATGCCAGCTGTTTGGGGAGGGAGGTGAGGGGGGCTGCTGCCCATCACCAGCAGGGATCAGAGGTCTGTAAGAGACCCTGCCCTTTGCATGTCTTCCACAGTCCCCCTCCTTCCTCAGTAGCATTCCCTGTGCCTTAAGCATGGCCAGTCAGGGCCATGGTGCGGTCTTTCAGCCCCATTGGGGCTGGGACATGGACATAGTCAGAGCCACTCAGCCATATGGGACATTTGCTTTAACCTTCAGCTGAGAGTGCAACTCCCTTTCCTTCTTATTTTCTCCAATCCTGCTCCAAGCCATTGCTCCTCTATACCTGGCCTGATGCATGGGCCTGTCCTGCTGTGGGGATGAAACAGGATCCAGTTCTGCCTTGAGCAAGGCTGGCCCTGCATTCTTCCCTCCCTGCTCACCTCCGTAGTGTGAGATCTTCCCCTGCTGCATAAGTAGCTTCCACTAAGGGGTGCTAGCTGTTGGCAGGTTGCTTAAGACAGTGCTTATCCTCTGTGGAGTGGGGGGTAGTGTTCCTTCTCCTGGCCCCCATGGTGGCCTCCTCCTAAGGATCTGATCTGTGCCAGCTCTTCCAATGTTACTTTGGACAGGGCTCCAGGGAGAGGCAGGAGGTGTCAACCCCTGTGCGCCCAGGGTAGGCTGGGTGGATTGGGGCTGGTAAAGGGATCTGGGAACAGTGTTGTAGTTGCAGTTAACTCTGGACCACTCCAAGAAGCCAGCCAGGCTGGGTGTCTTTCCTTTAAACTCAGCTTGCCCACATGATGTTGGGTTTGGAGGCACAATATTTTCTTCCTAAGGCCTGGAGCACTCTGGATCCAAGCCAGCATTGGGAGGCCTCTATCCATTGCTGGTGGGGGGGGCATGGCTTTATGCCCTTCCTAGCATGTGTCCCCTTCAACTGAGAGGCTGAGGCTGAAACAGTGCAAAGTTACTGTCCCTTGATGGATGCCGCCCTCAGACCCTGGGGCCTGCTACTAGCCAACTGGCCTCACTTAGGGCACTGAGGTCATCTCTCCAGAGCCCTGGATGCAGCTGCCACAGCAAGATGCATCTCATGGGAGAACACTGTCCAGGCCCAGGCTGGTACATGGGGCATTTGGGAAGGGGTAGGCTGCTTGCTTGTCTGTATAACTTGCTTTCTGATCCATGTCATGGTTCTTTCCTGGCTCCCAGCTGGGGATAAACCACTCTCCTATTGAGGTTGTGCCAGCCTAAAGGTGCCTTTAAAACTCCTGGAGAGCTACAGCTGTACTTGATTTGCCTTCCTACAGCTGCCCTGGCTCTGGGGGGTGGGGAGTCTTTCTTTGTGGCCACCACCTTCACCTGCCTGGAATTAAGCTCTTTAGATCCTGCCTGAGAAGTGGCAGATTCCTTGAGACCCACAGCCTCCTCTACAGCGGTGATCCCACAGCTTTCCTCCAACTCCAGCTCTAAGCAGCAGAGACTCATTCAACTGAACTCTGTGCATGCTGCACACTACCCCCTCACTGTCTATGTCTGATCCCTAGAGCTGGGGCAATGCTTCCAGGCTCTAAGCTGCCCCCTGTGCTAGGGTGATTTGCTACCTCATGCAAGCCCTGGCTAGACAGGCTGTACCTGTCTGGTACTGATGGCTATGCATGTCCAATTAGCAAAGGGCTGCAGAGCCTCCTTGGATCCCGTTTGTGTCTCTGAGCCTTTTAAAAAGTAATCCAGTATTTATTCTGAGCATTAAAAGAGCATTTTACAGTGTGAGTCTCTGCTTTCCTTCTCCCTGTTGTTGCTTGTGTGTAGTCAATCCCAGCCTTAGGTTAGGTGGGCATGGCTTCAGCTGCAGGAAGGGAACTTCATAGGCCACAGGCAGAGGGGTAGGGATGTTTGCAGAAATGTTGGTACTTCAATCTTGGTGAAGCAGTTGCCATGTTGGGAAATCAGGGCCCCAGGAGTGGCTGCTTTGTGGCTTTGGCATCCAAGAGGTGCCAGGCAGGTGGGGTGTGAGTTTGGTTAAATGCAGTCCCTTGTCTGTGGCTATAGCACAGACCTGGCTCCCATCCCACATCATCTTTGCCCTTGAGAGGGCAGGGTGGATGAGCTGCCTGGCATTGGAGGCAACGTGCAGCTTCTGAAAGGCCAGATTGGAAGGCACAGGTCTGGGGCAGCAGCTTGGTGTGGGTCACGTGCTGCCCTTGCACCTGCATAGCTTGATGTTATGTCAGCTGCTTGTGTCAAAGAAGGGGTGCTTGCCCTGCTCCAATGCCTGGGATCTGCACGGCAACCAGAGGCTGCCTCAGCCCCTCTTGATCATTTGCCAGGGTCTTCTCAGCATCAACTTCTTGATTAAAGCCAGCAACAAAGCAGCCATAACTCCATT